AATAATGCTTTGCTCCCCAAAAATGTCTCACCCTCATGTGAAGATATTTTCAAGTCAAACTAACTCATCCACACAAGGTGCTAAACGTGTAACCCAGAGACCAGCACCCGTGTCCACAAAGCATCTCAGAGTAGGAGTACTGAGCTAGGATCAGTTTTAGCATTTAGATCAGAATGAATAAGATTATATGGACAGATCCTATATCAGCACTCCTACTCTGAGATACTTTGTGGCTACTGGCCCAGAACTATATGGTGTAGCCATATCTACTGACCCCCAGTGGACAGAGCGTGTATTTCACTTTCACAGCAACAATTCCAGTGGCTTTGAAAGTCGCTATATAGTACTACCAAATATCATTCATATTGTTTAGAAATCTAAATGGTATTACAATAATAACATGAATATAATAATTGTTGTATTATTGTATGTAATTCCGAGTTTGAGTGAGCTCTGCCTTGATTTTGTAGTAGGATATCCTGTTGAGGGCAGAAGTGGACGAGGTCCCGAGTTTGACTGAACAGCTCCTGTAAAACCACCCCCCAGCAGTAGTGGTATATGGGTAAAATCACTGGGGAAGCCAAGCCAGAAACAAAAAGCCATATTATAACCTATGTGTTGTGATAATTTCCCAGTTTGCCCTATAACCTGCTAGTTCATATGCCTTGACACTGTGATATATAGGCCTAAGGCAGAGACAATAAGAAGACACAATGGCAGAATAAATTACACCACAACTTTGTTTCATCACAAAACCAGAGAGCAACCTCTGTCCGGTGAAGTCCATAAAGCATACTGTATGTAACAAACAGTTACATGATCTACAGCATGGTCAAGCAAGTTAATGTTTCCGGCATTGTCCGACTACTAAACAACTATTGATTTAGAACCATGGAGAGTTACCACAAGTTGCAAAGAAAACAGGAGCTGCCTCCACATTTTCCAGCACCATTTCAACTTCAACATCATCAAATCACCTATGCTTAGTCTAATACAGTGACAACTAAAAGATACCAAAAACAATTTAGTCCAATAAACATAAGCTAAATATGATGAGGCTGTCCATGGTTCTGGTTTCTGTGTGTGTGTGTCTGTGTGTGTGTGTGTGTGCACAAGTAGAAAAAACATGTTGACTCGCCCTACTTGTAGAGAAATGCCAATGGCATCCTCCTCTCTTTCATGTTGACGAAACGGTCTACGACTGTCATACAGAACAGGACACGCTTCTAGCTACATACTGAACTTCCATCCTCTCAGGCCAGGGGCACAATGTATGAATTTATGGTTGGATCAGAATCGCCGTTATAAACATTGGCCAGTATGTAGAATTAAGTAAAACCACAAGTCCAAATCCCTATCTCCATCCATGGCTGATTTAGGAAAGGAGCCATTTTAGCTAGCTAGCTAGTCACCGGAGGATGACACAACGAGATGCAACAATTCGACAATTCAATTACATTTTGCTTTTGATGTGATTGGTGTGAAGCCAAATCCAAACTGGCTTCCCTTGACACTTTTTTTTGGTGCACCAGGACCATTCACAGCTCACTCAGTTAAGCTCAATGCTGATTGGCTATAATTTTTTATCAAGGGAGGCCAAATGCTCGCTGGCTTCCCTTGCATTCAATGCTACGTGCGGCAACATTGTCATACTCTTTTTGACCAGACAGCATCAGATAGATGGGCTACACATACAGAGACAGAGGGGCGCTGTTTTGCTCGCTCGGATGCTTTCTCCGGTGAGATACATTCAGCAGCCTCTTGCGAATTGAAGGAAAATTATGAAACACAGAGAGACGAAAGATACAAAAATTATTGGTCCATTTTTTGGGGAAGCCTGGCTTCCCTTGGCATCCATGAATACACGCCACTGCCCCTCAGTCAGTTAATACCACTCATTACAGTTCACATTACAACAGTTCACAGTACAAGTCTCATACTGTTGTATGTAGTTGAATAGTATAGAATATAATAACTTTAATTTTCCCAGAGGGAACTTCAGTGTTGACTTGCTCACCATCTCACAATGAATGTATATAAAATGTACTAACTAGTGCTGTGCTCGCTGATGTATTGTAGGCTTTTACCTCTTCCTGAGTCTTGGTGACAGTCGCTCTCATTTTTAAAGAGCAACTGCCACTAAAAAAACAACTTCTCATTTAGAATACACCCTATGTGGCATTGATATGAGTCCGAAACATTTATTCTACTTTCAAAATTGACTACAAAGTGTAAATAGGATAATTTTGATCATAAAGTTAGTCTCATCCAAAACGGAGTTTTGTGAGACTTGTGGTCGTGACTGCATCACAACGTAAATTAACGTTGGGTTTGTTTCAACCCTGCCCAGATGCCCACAGCACACAAGTAATCATTAATTCGGAGTGCAGCTGCACGTGACCCGATCTTAATGCATGTGGTAAATTTGGGTTGACTTCGGATAACCCTATGGGGCTAGTTAGGGACCATTGATAAATTACACAATGTAGGCCTACATGGGACAATATGTTAAAGTTCCAATAGCTCCAAATTTCAATGACTTAAAAACCTCAAACCAACTACTGTATAAATTGTAGGAATTCATATACAGTACATACAGTATATTGAAAGCGTTTAATGAGAAAACAAAGGTGTGTAACATGAAAATATTGTCTCGTTTACATAGTGTAATTTATTGACGTTCCCTAACTAGCCCCGAGATAAGCTATCCAAAGTCAAATCATTTTTGCCAGGGTTGCACACCAGCCAGCTGACGCCTGATGCATATGTGTTTTGCTGGATGTCTTTTCCCTACTTACATGTGCTTTTCCCTACTTACTTTTCAACTAGCTAAAAGCTAGCTAGTTGGAGTCTGTGTGGGTACTTCCGTTTGTACCACTGCAAGGTAAAGCAACGAACGAGTTGAAAATATTGAACGCATGCGGTACACAGAACGCATCGCTGCCTAGTGTGGCATCCCCAACATAGCGTTGCTCCATTGACAATAAATTACTTCCGCCGGAACGCAAAGAGTTTGATGCATCTGGTGGACATGAGGCGTGAAGCTAATTGGCTAAATAATTTGGCTAACTCATCCCACCTGCCAACACAGAGACGAGACACCCACATCAAACCACACCCGAAACCAACTCACATTTGAATTCAATCATGGCCGCTAGCATTTCTTAATGTACCACATCTAAAACATGGCCAAATCAGGAAGTGCAGTCGCCCTTTAACGCTTGAGTGTTTGGCATCTCGTGGGCCATGTCAATACCCTACAGGATGGATAGTTAGTGTATTGTATTGGGTATTGTTGTCCAATTGAACATGAACTTTATTGCCCTTTTAGTGTAAGAGCTGTTTGAAAAGACCGCCTGAAATTTCAGCCTGTTTTGGTGGGTGGAGTTTTGACCTGCCTGGTGACATCACCATGAGGTAAATTAGTTAATAGACCAATAAGAAAGAGAGTTCCAAACCTCTCTGCCAATAACAGAAAGTTTTCAGTTTTCCCCTCCCCACTCAGACCACTCCCAGACAGTCCTAGCAAAATTCTTGCTTGAGAAATTGCTCTTTGCTAAGAAGTTATTTTTGACCATTTTAATTGAAAAAGAACATAGTGAAGGTACCAAGAAATTATTCGATATCGAGATAAAAACGGCTGCATTGGGCCTTTAATGAAATCTGATATTTATAAGCATAGATTCTGCAGTACCCTCTTCATGCTTCCAGCCTTGTTCAAAATCATACCTGCATGACCAAAAGGTGACAGGTATGACAGGTAATCATAAACATCTTTTCAAAATTGGTTTAGCAGACAATGCATAGCTAGCATGTTTTAAAAAACACATGCATCCCAAATGACACCCTTTTCCCTTTATAGTTCACTACTTTCGACCAGGCCCCTATTTGTATTTATTATGGCAGCAGCTACTCTTCCTTGGGTCCAGCAAAATCAAGGCAGTTATACATTTAAAAAACATTACAATACACTCATAACAGATTTCACAACATATTAAGTGTGTCCCCTAAGGTCTCTACTCTTCTACCACATATCTATAACACAAAATCCATGTGTACATGTGTGTGTAGTGCGTATGTTATCGTGTGTTTGTATGCATGTGTCTATGTTTGTGTTGCTTCACAGTCTCCACTTTTCCATAATTTGTATCTGTTTTTTAAATCTAATTTTACTGCTGGCATGAGTTACTTGATGTGGAATAGAGTTCCACGTAGTCATTGCTCTATGTAGTACTGTGCGCCTCCCATAGTCTGTTCTGGACTGTGAAGAGACCTCTGGTGGCATGTCTTGTGGGGTATGCATGGGTGTCCGTAGTTCAAACAGACAGCTCGGTGCTCTCAACATGTCAATACCTCTCACAAATACAAGTAGTGATGAAGTCAATCTCTCCTCCACTTTGAGCCAGGAGAGATTGGCATGCATATTATTAATGTTAGCTCTCTGTGTACATCCAAGGACCAGCTGTGCTGCCCTGTTCTGAGCCAATTGCAATTTTCCTATGGGCCCTGATTGAAAGTAGTGTACTATATAGGGAATAGGGTGCCATTTGGGAAGCAAACATGCACTTTTCTCAGAGAAATGACTTACAGTGAGACTCTTACTTGGCCTTCATCTCATGGGTGGTTCACCGGATGCCGTCCAGCTCGATCTCCAGTTTAACCGTGTCCAGGGTGAGGCGCTCCTGTTCACCGCGGTACTCCATCAGCTGGGTCTCGTACTCAGCCGTGGTGGTGGTGGCTCCGTTGGGCTCGTTGGCCAGCATGGGCCCCGCAGAAGCAGATGCTACTGCTGCAGCCAGAGCTGCACACGCTCCCAGCCCCCTGCTGCCATGGTGCGGCCCATAGAGAAGCACTGCCACGACCCATATCCTGGCCCATTCATTTTAGTGTGAGGATTAGCTTTAGATAGCTGCTTGCAGGCCCACATCTTTATATTCTGTCCCAGGGTGCACATTGAACAAATGTGAAAGAAGCTGCCATTTTGGTAACAGCTTTTATTACCTCACAACAATTCAAACATATCACACATACACGTCTAATATGACATAGGTGGTCGTGTATCATACTCTACAAGAGCATTACGTCAAAGACTGTATCATTGAACTTTTGTCATATTACACACATGCCAGACACAATACAATATATGCCTTGATACCAGGCTATTATCAGGATTAAGGACAAAAGAGTTCAATGTTCCCATAAAAATATTCTATATGTGTAGGGAAGTATTTGTACATTCGCTTAGGTCCAACCTCTGATCTTTCCAAGCATTTTTTATATGCTAAAACAGGATAAAAATTGTACGAAAAATAAGAAAACATGTCAAATCATACTATGTAAACGTTTCCCTCCAAAACCTTCTCCTCAAGATATATTTGGAAAGTTATGCTATGCTGCGATTCATAATATGTACCATTAGCCATGACTATTCACTATCATTGAGCTCTGAATTCCGCCAGCTGAATACATATAAAAAGATGTTGCATGATGCCCTAGCTACATAGAAATAGGTGAAAAAGAATATACCGTCTTGAGAAGAGAAAATAATCTATGAGTTGGTGTCATGGAAAAATTTACCCATCACCATCAGATATAGACAGCTGCAAAGCTTCAGGCATATCTCTCCTATTCAGAAGGCCTCCTTTTTAGACAGCAAGTCAAGGACGTGAAAGTACTTGCATAGTGCAATGAGGAAAACCTAGTACTAAACACACAAAGCTCCAGCTCCTAGATATGGGACAGAACGGTATAGCAGAGGGACAGAGACATTCAAGGTTCTTCTCCCAGTGAGACTGACCATAGGAGGCTCTGTCGATTAGCCCCCAACCCTTAATACCCCACAATCATATCCTAAAGCCAATGACTACAAAAGCTGCTGGATCAGCGAGATGATACGATTCTTCTGAAAGGTTCTGAACTACAGGTGATATTCTCAATTCAATTTTTTGTTCAAAGCACCTGCTCCTGCAGTGGGGAAGAAATAAATGGTAAATGGGCCAAAACCTTCACCAGGGTGACAGTCCCAGGTTTTGGGCCATTTCTACCCTCTTTAACCTCCATTTTGTGTCTTGCTGTGTGATGCAAAGGGTTCATTCATCGGACTCGTATCTAGAAATGATACATTAGAACTGTTAACGGAGAAGGTTGTTAGACAGGACCTGCAAACACAATCATCTTTCAGGAGAAGAATCTCAATCAATCAATCTGTCTATATATCATACATAATCATTTGTATAATAATTAACCGACTCACTTTGAAAGCCGTTTCCTGATGTCCTTGATCTGCTCATTTTTCTTGGTGAGGATCTCCTTCATGTTGCGGTAGGCAGAAGTCTGCTGGAACTTCTTGTCCAGCTCCTACACACACAACAGGATTGCATGATAACCTCGAAATGGCAGATATACAATTCAAATGCTAACTTCAGATATTTTGAGATTGAAGTTCACACAATTGTCCATTGGTTGAAATGAATGCATGATTTATGTGAAAGGCATCAGGTAGGTACCAGTATAGGATACAGGCCAGGCACGTACCTTCTCTGCCAGGGCCAGTTGTTCCTGTACCCTAAGCAGGTCATGTTTGGCAGACATCAGGTTCTCCTGCAGGTCTCTTTGGGAGGCAGCGTTGACACTCAGGGACTTCTGGTAGTCTTCCTGCAGTGCTGCCACCGTGTCCTCCAGACTAGTGATATCCTGAGAACGGGCGGCCGTCTTGGGGAAAGAGAGACAGCACGTCAGTGGGTGAACTTTTATGTGCGGACAAAATGGCCCCCTTTTCCCTATACAGTGCAGTACTTTTGACCAGAGCCCTATGGGAATAGGGTGCCATTTGGGATGCACTCTTAGATTTACATATATTCAACACACAATGTATAGTGTTGGATTGATACATACCAGTTGATTTCCATGAAAGCAAATTAAATAATAGTAATCGTTCAGAAAAAGAGGACAAAAGCTTCAACACATCATAAAACACAAGGCCTGCATGTGGACAGCTTCACTAAAAGGAAAGAAATACTACAATGCACAAAAACCAGGAAGTAAACAGGGAATACTACTGAAAAGTCAAGTGCAGCTGTCATTCTATGGTCATTTGACCCATGTTTGTCTGTTATATTGTTAACCTATGACCTTGAACCCATGGCCCTTATGTTGCTACAGTACCTGCTGTTCCCCCTGGACCTTCTGCAGGTCTTTGAGAGCCCTCTCCGCCCTGGTCTTCTCATCCAACGCACCCATGGCCTGAAACACAATCAGTGTACTGCATGATACTGCATTTAAGTGATACCAACATCGATCATTCAATTAGCAAGGTCAGGTGTAGGTCAGGTGGAAACATGAGCACAAAATACAATGATGTCAAAAGTTACAATAAGTTGAGTGCATTTAAGGGTGTGTTCGTAAATTCACTCTGGACGCTCTGCTCTGAAAAGCGAGTGCTCTGGTTCGAGCGTCCTAGAACGCTTGATAATGACGAATTCACGCACGATAAAACGGTTCACAAATGAAAATGAAAACAGAGAAGGCGTGACTGCTCTCTTTTGGGTAGTTAACAATGTTGTTTCATCTATTTTTGAGTCTGGTTGACAGCGACAGTGTTGAGGACAATGTAGATTAACATATTGCCCTTGCAACATGCATTTGGCGTGTCAGCGTGTCACTAACCTTGCTTTTAGCTACAGTAACATCAAGCTAGCTAGTTAGCTAACGTTGGCAAGTGCAATCAGCTGATTGTCAGCTGGAATGGCAATAGCTAGAGTAGTATAACATAACTTACTTAGCTAGTAACATAGCAGGCTATTCTAGCCAGATAGCTAGTAACATAGCAGGCTATTCTAGCCAGATAGCTAGCTTGCTACAGTACAATGTCTTTCATTTGTTTCTTTTAGGAGTATGACACTGCCAACATTGACATGGAAATCCTGAATATGTTAACAGCCAATCCGCAGCTTACATACACACGGTTTCCAGACTATGCTGAAAGAATTGTACTTATATACATTGATGACTTCAAAATGCACTTTGCGAGGAAATAGCTACCCAAATAACAAACAAGGCAGTCGGTTGGCCATCCATTCTAGCAGACAAGCAGCTCATGATTGTTCTGTGGTTACTAGGAAATCAGGAGTCATTCAGGTGAATATTGTCGTGCCATTATAAACTAATCATGATAATGGATGTGATCAGGTACAGAACTTGACAAAATTATGTCCAAATTTACAGTACCACACCATTGATAAGCAACGTCATAACTAAGTAAGAATATGTCAATCAGAAACACACCTTATGGATTCAGATGTGTTTTTGTGTGAAGTACCTGGGTTTCCAAAGTCCGGAGCCTGCCTTTCAGCTTATAATTTTCCTCTTGTAGCCTTGATATCTCCTGATGAAAAACCAACGTGAAGTAACAGTTGATGAAATGGTTGGTGAAATAGCTGCTGAGCTGGTGTTATTACTCCTATATTACAAAATAAATCTGTACTACCAGATGAGGTTTGAGTACCTTACCTTGTTGAGAAGTTCAGATACCCCACCTTCATTCAGCGGCGCTAACTTGGGCTTGCTAATTTCCTGGTTAGTCTGGGTAAGGAAGCAAGGCATGTAAGTGAGCACATACTCTCCCATCAATAAATAGCGTCAATGCATGATTTGCAACATTTCAGCCCTAACCCTAACCATGTAATAAATGCACGCTTATTTTTTATAAAAGGGAAATGGTTAAAAGTGGTTGGGCACTCACCTTATTTGGGATTTTAAACTCAGTCTTCTCAAACTCAGCCACTTGCTCTAACAACTCTCTGTAGATAATGAAAAAGAGCAAAGGGGACGAGAAAAAGAGAGATGGACAAAAAATGAGAACATGTTCATTTGAAAAAAAGTTTGACTTTAAGGCACATTTATAGCTTATAAACGACCCAGAGTAATGACAGAATGTTTGATACCATACAGTGAGTTTCAGTGAGTGTACTGACTCATTGGTCGTCTGAAAGTAGGAGAAACGTGGCCTATAACAGCTTAGCATGTTCCTTTATGAAAGAGACCTACAGAATAACATTGTGCAAAACATTTGAGGTGGAGTACAGGGGAGCAGCCACCTGGCAGTTACTGTATGTATCTTTAAGAAGAAAAATAAAACACACTTGTTGTCCTCCTTAAGAGAGTTGAACAAAATGTTTGTGGTAAACAAAGCACCTCTCTACACGCTTCTATGTGGTTTGAAGAAGCTGCAGAACGCACGTAGATCTGTGGCTACTAGGGGCGTATTCCCCATTTTTTCGGGACACCTTGGTAGGTTATCTTATTGAGTGACTGTAGGCGTAATAGAAACACAAAAACATAATCTACAAAAGCACAGGGCTTGGTTTTTTATGTTTTGTTTTTGTTCTATGACTGGTGTCAGTGTAATGAAGGTCAAATGTAGTTTAAAACACAGCTGGTTAATATTCTCAACTCAGCAGATGTTAGATGTCAAATACAAACAAAGACCCAAATTGCTACAAAAAAAAACGAATTGCAAGCTAACAGTGCCATAACTCAAATAGAATCCATACGGGCTCATGGATTTGGAACACAGTATTCATTATAGTCCCTTGGAATAAATTGTGTGACATTGGATCAAACCTACAGTGGGGGAAAAAAGTATTTAGTCAGCCACCAATTGTGCAAGTTCTCCCACTTAAAAAGATGAGAGAGGCCTGTAATTTTCATCATAGGTACACGTCAACTATGACAGACAAAATGAGAAAAAAAAATCCAAAAAAATCACATTGTAGGATTTTTAATGAATTTATTTGCAAATTATGGTGGAAAATAAGTATTTGGTCAATAACAAAAGTTTCTCAATACTTTGTTATATACCCTTTGTTGGCAATGACACAGGTCAAACGTTTTCTGTAAGTCTTCACAAGGTTTTCACACACTGTTGCTGGTATTTTGGCCCATTCCTCCATGCAGATCTCCTCTAGAGCAGTAATGTTTTGGGGCTGTCGCTGGGCAACACGGACTTTCAACTCCCTCCAAATATTTTCTATGGGGTTGAGATCTGGAGACTGGCTAGGCCACTACAGGACCTTGAAATGCTTCTTACGAAGCCACTCCTTCGTTGCCCGGGCGGTGTGTTTGGGATCATTGTCATGCTGAAACACCCAGCCACGTTTCATCTTCAATGCCCTTGCTGATGGAAGGACGTTTTCACTCAAAATCTCACGATACATGGCCCCATTCATTCTTTCCTTTACACGGATCAGTCGTCCTGGTCCCTTTGCAGAAAAACAGCCCCAAAGCATGATGTTTCCACCCCCATGCTTCACAGTAGGTATGGTGTTCTTTGGATGTTCTTTGGATGCAACTCAGCATTCTTTGTCCTCCAAACACGACGAGTTGAGTTTTTACCAAAAAGTTATATTTTGGTTTCATCTGACCATATGACATTCTCCCAATCCTCTTCTGGATCATCCAAATGCACTCTAGCAAACTTCAGACGGGCCTGGACATGTACTGGCTTAAGCAGGGGGACACGTCTGGCACTGCAGGATTTGAGTCCCTGGCGGCGTAGTGTGTTACTGATGGTAGGCTTTGTTACTTTGGTCCCAGCTCTCTGCAGGTCATTCACTAGGTCCCCCCGTGTGGTTCTGGGATTTTTGCTCACCGTTCTTGTGATCATTTTGACCCCACGGGGTGAGATCTTGCGTGGAGCCCCAGATCGAGGGAGATTATCAGTGGTCTTGTATGTCTTCCATTTCCTAATAATTGCTCCCACAGTTGATTTCTTCAAACCAAGCTGCTTACCTATTGCAGATTCAGTCTTCCCAGCCTGGTGCAGGTCTACAATTTTGTTTCTGGTGTCCTTTGACAGCTCTTTGGTCTTGGCCATAGTGGAGTTTGGAGTGTGACTGTTTGAGGTTGTGGACAGGTGTATGTTATACTGATAACAAGTTCAAACAGGTGCCATTAATACAGGTAACAAGTGGAGGACAGAGGAGCCTCTTAAAGAAGAAGTTACAGGTCTGTGAGAGCCAGAAATCTTGCTTGTTTGTAGGTGACCAAATACTTATTTTCCACCATAATTTGCAAATAAATTCATTAAAAATCCTACAATGTGATTTTCTGGAATTCTTTTCTCTCAATTTGTCTGTCATAGTTGACGTGTACCTATGATGAAAATTACAGGCCTCTCTCATCTTTTTAAGTGGGAGAACTTGCACAATTGGTGGCTGACTAAATACTTTTTTCCCCCACTGTATATGTCTCATCCCCACACACTCATGCACCAATCTCACAATATCCATAGTAGTGGTAAATCAAAGTATTTTTGGTAAAGTACGAAAATGGTCTCTTTGAGTCCATTTGCCATGTAACCACTGTCTCCATTCTACCTTGCTGATGGACTGCCAGCTTTTCAACATAAAAAGGTTGGGACTGTAAAAGGAATGGCTTACCCCTCCCTCTCTAAAATACCCATTAACACAGTCCCTGGGCCTGGAAATGTACTCCACATCACAGAGCCATGCTATACATTTCAATGTGGCATGTTCCTGTGCCCAAGTAACAAGTTCAGATCCATCCACAGAGTGGAGGAGTGAGTGTGAGGGAACGGTCCTTAGCCTCACCCTCCCATTTCATTGTATTGTTGGGGGAAAAGGGTAGTGAAGTGGGAGAAACCGTTACCTGCTAATAACCCTTTACGTAATTGCTTCAATAGCCTTAAGTCCGAGTTTAGATTTAGGAAGTGTGCTATTGAGATTAATTGAGCCACCAGCTAGTTGCCCATGTTTCATTGCTGGCCAGACTTGACTATGGCCACGCTGCATTGTTTCCTGCTATGTATTTAGCACCTCTGATCTGAGGCACCATGATGAATGATCCTGTGGTAAATTCAGCATGGTAAAAGGGAAAGATGCGCTAATACATTTTTTGGCACAGTGTAAGTATGTCCGCTAAGGGCAAAGTAAAAATGGGACAACCCCTCTCCATGAGATAAAGCTGTTTTTACTGGTACTGAACATTCCCACATCCCTCTTTGTCCAGGCATGTTATTAAGCACTGCTGTAAGACATTCTTGGCAGCCATGCTTAATAACCCTGGATGCAACAGGGACCTTTCATTGGCAGTTTTCTACACATTTTGTTTCGTCTCCACTTAGCCTAGACCATTTATATTTTCTTCCCATTTACAGTGTAAATTGTACAAACATGTTTTTAGAACTTTCACCACTACATGTGGTGAATAGCAAACGTCCTGTCAATATATGGCAGGAAAGGCAGGCATCAACCAAAACAAACATTCCTTAGGTATCATATCATGTGAACTACTCCACCCACACATGTATCAGAAGCTATGGTCGCATCTGCCGGCATTTCAGTGAGAGTAGGAAACCACAGAAATTGAAAAGCAGGGTACCATTCTCATGAGAATGTGTGGCTTGGCAATAACCTCAGTGATTTACGTAGCCTAGGAAGTGGCTTCTGCTACACTGAAGGAAGTGGCTTCTGCTTTGAATGGGAGGGACATTTACTGCTCACACTCTCAGTGTACATATGAGAGGCTCTGCTGACAGGCTACACACAGAGGCATGTTGAGGTTAAAATGTTGCTTCCCACCTGAGTGTCACCCTCTCGTTGACCCTTAAACTGAAATATACCTTCACACACACTCCCTAATTCTCAGTACTATCTACTACTTTACATTTTAGTCATTAAGCAGACGCTCTTATCCAGAGTAACTTACAGTAAGGAGTGCATACATTTTCGTACTGCTCCCCTGTGGGAATCGAACCCACAACCCTGGCTTTGCAAGAGCCATGCTCTACCAACTGAGCCGCAAAACGGGATTCAGCCTGCCCTTGCAGCCCCCCCTCATCCCCACAGTCCACCTCCAAGCCATCCCACCCATCCCCACAGTCCACCTCTAAGCCATCCCACCCATCCCCACAGTCCACCTCCAAGCCATCCCACAGTCCACCTCCAAGCCATCCCACCCATCTCCACAGCCCACCTCCAAGCCATCCCACCCATCCCCACAGTGCACCTCCAAGCCATCCCACCCATCCCCACAGTCCACCTCCAAGCCATCCCACCCATCCCCACAGTCCACCTCCAAGCCATCCCACAGTCCACCTCCAAGCCATCCCACCCATCTCCACAGCCCACCTCCAAGCCATCCCACCCATCCCCACAGTGCACCTCCAAGCCATCCCACCCATCCCCACAGCCCACCTCCTAGCTACTCGTCCCCACAGCCCACCTGTTCTCCAGCTCCGAGATGTCAGTCTGCAGACGGAGGTAGAACTTCTCAGCCTGGGAGAAGAGCTGCCGGAGCAGCAGCACGTTGGTGTGGGCTGTGTTGATGAGCTCCGTCTCCACCTCCCCTCGCACCACCAGCTGCAGCCCGTCCAGCATGTCCCGCACCTCGTCCACTGTGAATGTCTCCTCCACTAGCCTAGAATAGAATAGAAATAGAATAACCTTCTCCCTGTGGGGGAACTTCTTCTTTGGAGATACACACAAATACCCTTAAAAGCTGTCCTAAAAAAATTGACTTGCATTCCTCCGACAAACATTGTTGGCTAGCTGTGATAAACAACATGAAAATGGTGTGATACACCACCTGCTGTCTTTAAGGTCCTCGAAGCAGGAGTCAATGGTCTTGAGTCTGATGACCCTCTTGGAGCGTGCAAAGCGCATGTAGTTGATGGCCTCATTCTGATGGTGTTCATTGAAACCAAACTCAGCCTTCAAGGAGAAAGAGGAACAGGGATGGATGTCAATCTCCAGCTAAGTAACGCAAACTAGAAGACAGATCTGTGGTTGTGGCCCTCTTGATTAATTATAGTTAGTTATTTAGCTAGCAGGTTAAGTTACTGTTTCAAGCACAATATTGAACAAGGCAGTGTGTGTGGAGGTGGGGGGGGGGTACTGCAAGGTTCTGTAGCTGCAATCACTAGCTAGGCTATGGATGGTTACCTAACAGTCGACACTAGTTACCACAGCCACAGAGTCAAAAAACCCGACTATTTCTACAATTTATCTTATTCAAATGTGATTTTAAACCTAACCCTAACCACACTGTTAACCTTATACATAACCCTAACCTTAAATTAAGAACAAATAGCTCATTTTAGTTTTCATGCATTTTTACGATATAGCCAATTTTCTGTGGCTGTGGTAATTCGTGGAAACCCTAGCTAATCAGCGTCGAGCACTGCGTTGTCATGGAAACTTCATTGTACATTATATTAGGTAGCTAGCCTAGTAGCAGACACTTGGCTAGCTAGCTCATGTTGCATTTCGCTACTAACTGACTAAACTAACGTTAGCTAACTAACTATCCGTGCAGTCGACCGCATCGATAGAGTGATTGTTCGAACATATCAACAGTATCCTGATGCCTCGTTTACGAGTTAGTCACTTTACCCTGCCTTCATGACATGACTCATGTAACGTCACATATCTACCTCAAATACCTCATACCCCTGCACATATTTTTTTTTTACTCTGCATCGTTGGGACGGGCTCGTAAGCAATCATTTCACGGTTAAGTCTAACGATGTTACACCCGTTGCGTTGTATGCGGCGCATGTGACAAATACAATTTGATCCCTTGCTAAATCCACACCAGCAAGCTGGCCATATCATGTTGCTAGCTACATAAATTAGCTAGTTAACGTTAGCTGGGATAAATTAGCTTAGCTTCCTAACGTAGCTAGCTAGTCTGCTAATGTTACTCACCATTGTTGACCCCAAACACCCGACTCTTTTACTGCTAAATGTTATGTTAACTAGCTAGACCACAATGCACAAACTAATAGTTACACTACGCTTTTAACTAGCTATATTTATTTATGGTGATATATGAAAAGATTAAATCAGCTAGTTCGCCTCTTCAACGCTGGAGATGTCTTGGATACGGAAAAGCGTCATTGCGTTGGTAACCATGGAGCACGTTCAACCATAGAAATATAATAACTAGAATGGAAATCCCCATTCAAGTCAATATTCCTTGTTCGGTTGGAATTTCTATTTCTATACATTCAATAGAGATCCTATGAAATTACTTTTTACATTTACATTTTAGTCATTTAGCAGACGCTCTTATCCAGAGCGACTTACAGTTAGAGAGTGCATACATTTGTCATACTGTATACTTGAGGTGCTGTATACTTGAGGTACTATACAGCACATTTGGAAAAGTATTCAGACCCTTTCACTTTTTCTACATTTTGTTACGTTACAGCCTTATTCTAAAATGGATTAATTAATTGTTTTCCTCATCAATCTACACACAATACCCATAATGAAAAAGCGAAAACAGGTCTTTATAAAAACAGAAATACCTTATTTAAATAAGTATTCAGACCCTTTGCTATGAGGCTCGAAATTGAGCTCAGGTGCATCCTGTTTCCATTGATCATCCTTGAGATGTTTCTACAACTTCATTGGAGTCCACCTGTTGTAAATTCAAATGATTGGACAGGATTTGGAAAGGCACACACCTGTCTATATAAGGTCCCACAGTTGACAGTGCATGTCAGAGCAAAAACCAAGCCATGAGGTCGAAAGAATTGTCCGTAGAGCTCCGAGAGAGGATTGTATCGAGGCACAGATCTGGGGAAGGGTACCAAAACATTTCTGCAGCATTGAAAATGTAAGGTCCCCAAGAACACAGTGGCCTCCATCATTCTTAAATGGAAGAAGTTTGGAACCACCAAGACTGTCCGTCCGGCCAAACTGTGCAATCAGGGGAGAAGGGCCTTGGTCAGGGAGGTGACCAAGAACCCGATGGTCACTCTGACAGAGCTCCAGAGTTCCTCTGTGGAGATGGGAGAACCTTCCAGAAGGACGACCATCTCTGCAGCACTCCACCAGTTAGGCCTTTATGGTAGAGTGGCCAGACGGAAGCCACTCCTCAGTAAAAGACACACGACAGCCCACTTGGAGTTTTACAAAAGGCACCTAAAGGACTCTCAGATCATGAGAAAAGATTATCTGGTCTGACGAAACCAAGATTGAACTCTATGGCCTGAATGCCAAGCGTCACGTCTGGAGTAAACCAGGCACCGCTCATCACCTGGCCAATACCATCCCTACGGTGAAGCATGGTGGTGGCAACATCATGCTGTGGGGATGTTTTTCAGCTGCAGGGACTGGGAGACTAGTCAGGGTCGAGGGAAAGATGAACGGAGCAAAGTACAGAGAGACCCTTGATGAAAACCTGCTCCAGAGCGCTCAGGACCTCAGACTGGGGCGAAGGTTCACCTTCCAACAGGACAACTGTCACGCTCGTCGGGAACAGAGGAGGACCAAGGCGCAGCGTGGAATGCGAACATTTTATTAATTTGAATGAACACACGAACAAAACAACCAAACGAAAACGTGACGTCCCTGGTTACATACACGAACCAACACGGAACAAGAAACCACAATGAATGAATGCCTAACGGCTACCTAAGTATGACTCCCAATCAGAGACAACGAGCTACAGCCGTCTCTGATTGGGAGCCACCCTGGCCAACATAGATATACAACAACTAGAACCAACACACATGACAACTCACACCCTGGCTCAACATACTAGAGTCCCCAGAGCCAGGGCGTGACAGTACCCCCCCCTAAAGGCGCGGACTCCGACCGCGCCAACCAAATACCACAGGGGAGGGACCGGGTGGGCACTCCGCCTTGGCGGCGGATCCGGCTCCGGGCATGATCCCCACTCGCTCTCTAACCCCCCAAAGTACCCCTGGTCCGGTCTGGCCCTGCTGACCGGAGCTGGACTGCACACTGGTGGAACGGATTGCTCTAGCTCCGGCGTGAAGCAGCTGACCCGTGCTGAACCAGGCACCAGTGGAACAGGCACGGGCTGTGCCGGACTGACGACGCACACCACTGGCTTGGTGTGGGGAGCAGGAACGGCCCGAGCCGGGCTGACGAAACGCACCCCTGACCTGGTGCGGGGACCAGGAGCGGGCCGAACCGGGCTGACGAAACGCACCACTGACTTGGTGCGGGGAGCAGGAACGGGCCGAGCCGGGCTGACGAAGCGCACCACTGACTTGGTGCGGGGAGCAGGAACGGGCCGAGCCGGGCTGACGAAGCGCACCACTGACTTGGTGCGGGGAGCAGGAATGGGCCGAGCCGGGCTGACGAAGCGCACCACTGACTTGGTGCGGGGAGCAGGAACGGGCCGAGCCGGGCTGACGAAGCGCACCACTGACTTGGTGCGGGGAGCAGGAATGGGCCGAGCCGGGCTGACGAAGCGCACCACTGACTTGGTGCGGGGAGCAGGAACGGGCCGAGCCGGGCTGACGAAGCGCACCACTGACTTGGTGCGGGGAGCAGGAACGGGCCGAGCCGGGCTGACGACGCGCACCATTGGCCGGGTGCGGGGAGCAGGAACAGGCCGGACCGTACTGGGGACACACACCACTGGTCCTACGCCGGGATCTGGAATGGGCCGGACTGGACTGGTAACACACCCCAGTACCTCTCGCCGTGCCTCTACACCTTCCATCCCCTCTTCGACCAGTGGCCCCCGTAACCTGGCGGCCTCCATTGCCAACCCGCTGGGCCGCTCTGCCGCGGTCTCCTGCTGGCCCGTCGTCCACGGCGTTAGCCCCCCCCTAAAAAATTTCTGGGTGTCTCTCCTACCCGTGGACCAGGTCTCCATGTCCCTCGCCAGCCTTTCGCCCTTCTGCTTCCATATCAAGCCCTTCTCTTCCTCACCCGGCTTGACCCAGTCGAGGAGGCGAAGGAGATCTGCTAGAGATCTCCCTGGCGATGGCTCCTGGACACGCTGCTTGGTCCAGTCTTGGTGGTTTCTTCTGTCACGCTCGTCGGGAACAGAGGAGGACCAAGGCGCAGCGTGGAATGCGAACATTTTATTAATTTGAATGAACACACGAACAAAACGAAAACGTGACGTCCCTGGTTACATACACGAACCAACACGGAACAAGAAACCACAATGAATGAATGCCTAACGGCTACCTAAGTATGACTCCCAATCAGAGACAACGAGCTACAGCCGTCTCTGATTGGGAGCCACCCTGGCCAACATAGATATACAACAACTAGAACCAACACACATGACAACTCACACCCTGGCTCAACATACTAGAGACCCCAGAGCCAGGGCGTGACAACAACAACCCTAAGAACACAGCCAAGACAACACAGGAGTGGCTTCGGGACAAGTGGTCCTCTGTAGCTCCGCTGGTAGAGCACGGCGCTTGTAACGCCAAGGTAGTGGGTTCGATCCCCGGGACCACCCATACACAAAAATGTATGCACGCATAACTGTAAGTTGCTTTGGATAAAAGCGTCTGCTAAATGGCATATTATTATTATTAAGTCTTTGAATGTCCTTGAGTGGCCCAGCCAGAGCCCGGACTTGAACCCGATCATAGCTGAAAATAGCTGTGCAGAGACGCTCCCCATCCAACCTGACAGAGCTTGAGAGGATCTGCAGAGAAGAATGGGAGACATTTTCCAAATACAGTTGAGCCAAGCTTCTAGCGTCATACCCAAGAAGACTCAAGGCTGTAGTCACTGCCAAAGGTGCTTCAACAAAGTGCTGAGAAAAGGGTCTGAATACTTATGTAAATGTGATATTTCATTTTATTTTCTAAAAACCTGTTTTTGCGTAGTCTTTATGGGGTATTGTGTGTAGATTGATGAGGGGAAAAAACAATTTAATCAATTTTAGAATAAGGCTGTAACGTAACAAAATGTGGAAAAAGTCAAGTGGTCTGAATACTTTCCGAATGCACTGTACATGAGGTACCAGTACCGAGTCAATGTGCAGGGGTATGAGGAAATTGAGATATATAGGTAGGGGTAAAGTGACTAGGCAACAGGATAGATAATAGACAGCAGCAGCAATGTATGTGATGACTATGGAAGTGTGTGTGGCGAATGTGTGCCTGTGTGTATGTGTTAGGTGTGAGTGTGTGTGTGTGTGTGTGTGTGTGTATGTATGTGTTGGTGTGTCAGTGTAACTATGGGTGCATTTGTAAATTCACTGGAGTGCCAGAGTACATTCAGAGTGCGCTCTGGGCGTTTGTAAATTCAGAGCATTATCAGATTGTCCATTAGTAAATTCAGAGCATTTCGTTGTCGGAGCGCACACTGATCCGAGCATTCTGACCTCATAACGGCTGTCAAGCACCCAAGCTAACTGGCTAAAGATGGCTAGCTTGCTAGTTACTTCCAGACACAAGAACACCTCACTCTGACCATTCTACTCGCCCTAGCAGAGCTGATTAGGCTGTTTTCATGTTATCTAGAGTGTTGGTGACTGTAACTGTCCTGCTGGCAACAATTTAATAATGTTTTTTTGGGTGTTTTTAATGGGTGTTGCCTGTTCATAAATCCTTCAGTTATTATGCGCTCTGACACACTCAGACGAGAGTGCTCTGAAATCAGAGTAGATAGCCAGAGTGAATTTACGAACGCACCCTATGTGTGGGTAGAGTCCAGTGTGTGTGTGCATAGAGTCAAAAAGGTATTAACTATTTAGCAGTCGAATGGTTGGTAGTAGAAGGTGTTCACAACTAATCTTCTCCTTTCCCCCTTCTGATAACCAGGTGGCAAATCGCATCTCTGCATGTCTGGCAGACATATCAGTATGGATGACGGATCACCACCTCAAGCTGAACCTTGGCAAGACGGAGCTGCTCTTCCTCCCGGGGAACCTGGACAACACCCTGTCGTTCTCCGCTAACATCAAGGCGGTGACCCGATCCTGTAGGTTCATGCTCTACAACATTCGGAGAGTACGACCCTGCCTTACACAGGAAGCGGCAGAGGTCCTAATCCAGGCACTTGTCATCTCCCGTCTGGATTACTGCAACTCGCTGTTGGTTGGGCTCCCTGCCTGTGCCATTAAACCCCTACAACTCATCCAGAATGCCGCAGCCCG